TTTAATTTTTTTTTTTTTTTAGTTTTTGATAATTTATTTTTATTGCCCGTATTCATTAGATTTAGACAAATAATTTTAGTTACTATTTTCTATTAGAACTAATGAAAATTTTCATTTAAAGTATTGAATTCTAAAAAAAAAATTTTTTTTAACAGGGCGGGGACCTCGTTACCCGTCCCCGCCCCGGGGCAAAATTCCCCGTCCCGTTCGAGGCGGGGCAAGGCCCCGCGGGGATAGGGTTTGTAGAATTTTTTTGTCATCCCTATCCTTCCTCCACTTATATTTGTTAGAGTGATGATATTTAGGGCCTGTCTGGGCTCGCTTAAAAATGCCAAAAAAAGTGAATTTTCGACCGTTGATAATTTTAACGGCTTCTTTTCCATCACATGGACTGATAGGAAGTCAGTCCATGTTTCCTTGTGTCAGGCCATGTTTCCTTGTGTGCCCTTAAATTTCAACAAAATTACACACAACCACCACCCCCACATCTTGCATAGTCATAGTGCCATGTAGGTTTGCTTCCAAGAACTAGAGGTGTATCACGTGGGCCCAGCGCAAACATTCAAAAAATTGATTTCACCGACTGAAAATCACGCCCAAACAGGCGCTAAGTCTCACGTTGTTCTCAACACCAGTTTAAATGATAACTAAATGACATTAAACCCTTATTTGGGAGCGATTTTTGTCCCATTTGAACAAATTTTTGCTTGTTAGCAAATAAACATGGGTCTTATTGCTGTCGCAATTATTTGACTACCTCATAAATAAATTATCAAAAATGTCCTTCCCTCGAGAAGAATGAATTAAGCCCATGTTTGAGTTACATTATTTTTTCATTCTCATTTCTACTCATTTTAAACCACACATTATTCAATAAAATAATATTTTTCATCACATTAATAACTTTTTCTTATTTTCAACCACATATTCTCTATCAATCTATTATTTCAAATTACATTCTTCCAAAATAATGTGGCTCAAACATACCCTAAATGTTAAATGAGTGGATATGTCATTCTATTCGATCTAGTCAATAATTGCAATTGCTATGATATTAGCACACTATGCTCCTGTTTGAGTCCTATTAAAATTCTTCTACTAATTTTCAATTACATTTTTTAATAAAATAATATTTTTCATCACATCAATAAATTTTTCTTATTTTTCAACCACACATTCTCTATTAATCTACTATTTTAAAATACATTTTTTCAAAATAAAGTGGCTCAAACACTGCATGTTTAATCAACTACTTTTTATGTGTGGGTTATGTCATGTAAAAAACTGGTATTGGATTGATTAACAATAAAAAGAATGTTTGGCCAATCAAAAAATTTTAATTAATGCCTTTTCAAAATTCCTATATGTTTATGAGCAACCCAACTTTTGAAGGTAAATTAGGGTTGAATTAACCAACCTTTTCAAGTTGAGTGATTATATGCCTTTAAAGTGTACATATTTTTACATGATTCGCGGTTAGAAGGCAAAATTGTCGAACTACTTAACATTTATTTCAATTCACTTGAAAGCAGCATGTGATTTTAACATCTAATATGACTGTTTCTGTCATATAAGAAACTTAATTCTCAAATTCAAATAGGCTATGGATCCAAAATCACACTAAGTGAAATGTTGGGGAGCCCAAGCCATAATTTACCCATTTTTTAACTATGGTTGACATGAATGCTCAACCAAAAGGATGGTAGATTCTATTTTGACATCTGGACTATCAATTTAATTCATAAAGACTTTTTATCCACAGAAGGTGAATTGTCATGTTTTGATATTTTAGATGACGTCATGCATCACACATTATAATTCTAATAATAGTATCTATAGGAATAAGAAAGATCCGCCGAAGAAGATCCTTCTCCTTTCTTTTTTGGAAAGAAATGGAGGGTTCGATATATGATTTATCATTCATTGACGTTGAAAAACTTCATACATTATCATGAATTTTTCTACATTTTGATGAAGTCTCCCTCATTCGCATAGGTGCTTCCACAAATCGTTAAATATGAATCGACAATCTGTACCAAACATTCCTTTAATTTGACTCTAAGACCTGCTAACTTGAATATGTTCGATGTCTACAATGACATAAACTACTTTTATATAATCGAGATTGCTCGTCCCAATTTCAAAACCAATACCCCTCGTCTCAAGTCCTACCCAAACCCCACGTGGGTCCTACCTCCACTTATATTTGTTAGAGTGATGATATTCAGTCTCACGTTGTGCTCATTACCAGTTTAAATGATGACTAAATGACATTAAACCCCCATTTGGGAGCCATTTTTGTCCCATTTGAACAATTTTTTGCTTGTTAGCAAGTAAACATGGGTCTCATTGCTGTCGCAATTATTTGACTACCTCAAAAATAAATTATCAAAACTGTCATTCCCTCAAGAATAATGAATTGAATGTTAAATGCGTAGGTATGTCATTCTACCTTATCCGGTCAATAATTGCAATTGCTATGATATTAGCGTACACTTATAACGATATAAAATTTGCTACAAATTGAATAAACCATAGTACTCTTAACACGAACAGTGTTCATAGCATTATTGTATTTGTAACAGGAGAATGAGTCTAGGGTCACATTCGTAATTATCCGTAGCCAATAGAACAATTCTCAAGATTTCGTAACTTTTAAGAGAGAATCAACTAAAAGCCCGTTAGTTGTATTAATGCTACCCCACTCTCTCTCATCCAAATCCAAAACTTGAATCGTCCCTGAGATTCCCCAAGCTTCTCTTCAAATTTACACTCATTGCCACTCCCTTCCGATCTTCAAATCTATTCGAACTAAACCTTGCATTTCTGCTTCATTTCCCCCTCTTTTCTCCATCTACATTTACTCAAATATATAATACGCAGTATTTGCAGATTAATGTTTCTTCTCCGGGTTTGACAACATTGAACTGGTTTAAAATGTTTTTAATTAAAGGAATGCGGAGTGTGGCTTGCTTTTTCAGATGAGTTTCGTTTCAAATTATTAGCTTGATTCTCGATCTGCGAAGTTAGCGTTTTCAATTTATTTGTCAAGAAATTGGTTTGGAGAAATACAGGGTTTTATGGAGCTTGAATGGTTCAGAATGAGGATGGAGAGTTGAGGATTGTTTTTTTTCCTTTTTAGGGTTTGGTTAATTTTTCTATATTTATTGGGATGAATCGGAGCTTTAGGGCACCGGAGAGGGAACAAATGGGGAATCTGAGACTGAAGGAAAACAAGGATGAGGAGCTGGCATTGTTTCAAGAAATGCGTAAACGCGAAAAGGAACGGAATAATCTTCTTCTGCTTTACAACTCCGACGAGTTTGACGTTCCACATGGTATTAAAAAAATTAATTTTGTTTAAATTTTTGTTGAAAATTGTTCTATTATTTTATATGGCAGTTTTGGTGTTATGTGATGAGGTCTCAATTAGTTGTTAATTAATTGTATGATGAATCTATTTGGTGGATTTTGGTTTCAAATTTATGTAACTTTTTGACGTAATCTGATGTGCTGTTGCTCTTAAAAAATGATTAAAGTTTTTTTTTGTTTGGTGACTGACACTGACTTTGGATTCTTACATGATATTGTGAAATACTCATTTGAAGTAAAAAAAAAATGATAGTAATATCCTTGAAATTTACCTTGTCTGAAGCTTTTGATTATATAGCGAATTAATTTTATTATTCAAGTATTTATTTTTCTTTTAATTATGACTCTGTATGCAGGAACAAAAATCGGTAATATAACTGCAACTACACCTGCACCTGTGCGGAAGACTGGTGCTGATGAATTTCTTAATTCTGATGGTGAAAAAAATGACTATGAGTGGTAATTTTTTATATCTCCACAGCTTTTATTTTTATATCTTCTAAACTTGTGTGCTGATTGTGAATTTTTTTAAACTTTTGTAGTGTTGACGTCCTTCAATAGGAAATAAATTAATTTAATTTATCTTCATGAAGTGCTTTTATTGTACTTAAAACACCTATTTATACTTTTGAAAGGCAGTATCTTTTGTTGACTTTCTCCTTCCCATAAGAATCAATCTGATGGTTTTCACATTTCAAACTGACCTCCACAGACCATCTATAGGATAAATTTCAGCTTAATAATAGTGGCCTTTTCTATAAGATAACTGTTATTTCTTAGGGTTGACACACAACGATGTTCACAAGTTCCATATAGTTCGCTTCTCAGTCCAACACCATAAAAGAATTTTTATGTGGAAGGTTTTCAATTTTGTATACATCATACTTGCTACTTATTATTAGCTTGGAATGGATGTGTCTGTACCTGCATACTTGAGTGCCTTAAGAATATTAGTACATGGAGTAACTTAGTGAATTATCCAAAACAATAATTTACTTTATTCTTTATCCTTGAGTAATTTAGTCAAATACTGCTGAATAATCTAGATAATTAATTTTCCGCTTTATTATTAGCATAGCAGGGTGAGATGTAAGGAAATGAATATATATTTATAAATACACACACAATTATGATATTAAAGCTCTGCAAGTCTTCTTTACCAATGAGCAAAACTAGAATATGAAATGTAGCTCCATAATAGAAAGCTTAAACTACACTAGAAAAGGCTGCTGGTGAAGTTCGTTTCTTTTCCTCAAGTTCATCTCTATAAGTTGATAAATCTGAATTGTTACCAATAGTAATTTTTCTTGGTTTAAAGATGTATTGTCTTCATGATTTTACATAAGCTCAGATAAATACATGTTATCTATACATATCATTACATATTGCTGATATTGATTATGTACTTTGGAAATAATTTGGGCTTTGTTAATTTAGAAACAAAAAATTGAGTGTCCCAAATTTATATTTTCTGCTTTCAGATGTGTCTTTGCCGGCTAGGACTTGATTTTCTTGATTGAATGTAAAGTTTCACTTTGATTTCAATAAAGTCATTCAATGGCACTCATAAAAGTTCTCTTGTGTTTTCAGGCTTTTGACACCTCCAGGCACTCCTCTTTTTCCTTCACTAGAGATGGAATCGCAGAAAACTTTTAGGAACCACCTGGAAACTCTGAAAGTTCGCCCCACAGCGCTGAAATCTAGAGTAAGCTAAATATAGTATCATTGTTAAATTAATAGTCGGAATGCAAAATTAGTTGTTCTTCATGTTTCTATAGGATAGGAGTTTGGTCATTCCTTATGCGTAAGAGGCGCCAACACCTCCTAAAATTCAAGGGCTGTCCCCTGAAAGTTCATAGCTTAAAGTGCATAGTTACCGATATGTGCAAAGCAAATATGTAGTGTGAATTGACAAAGATCACGTGGCCAACATGTTCTATAAAATTTGACTCACTACGTGAAAGAAGCAAACAGATTTTAGGAAATCAGCCTCTAAAAAGGCAAAGGGAATAAATATTCTTATATTACATTTATTTATATCTAATTTCGTTAAAATCAGCTGCATAGTTATAGTCTATAATCCTCTCCAGAACTAATAGTGCTGTTTGATAAATTCACCTTTACTTACACTAGGAGCAACAGAAGCCCTTGAGCGTCTATTCTAATTTAGCATATTTTTTTAGGGTGTATGGAGAATTATCTGCAAGAATTATTAAATAATTTTTTTCTGCATCTTGTTTCTATGGTTGAAGCTAGCAAACTCCCAGCCTGAGCAGGCTAGTAGGAGCATTTTATTATCTAGACAGCCAACTTCATCTCTTGGATTAAATACTTCAACTGGAGGACTCCGTAGGCCCTCTTCATCTGGGGGTCCTGGATCAAGACCTGCAACACCAACTGGGCGCCCAACACTGAGCTCAACATCTAGATCCACCTCGACTTCAGCATCTGATAAACCTACATTGTCCACTTCTTCTAAATTAACCTCTGCCACGTCATCTAAAGCAATATCGACCACATCATCTAAACCTTCGAGATCTGCAACACCTACTTTCCGTGCCACCTTGCCTTCAGCTAAGCCCATAGTTCCGCCGAGATCTTCTACACCTCCCTCGAGGTCTACCATAAGATCCTCGACACCTACAGCCAGACAATCTTTACCTGCACCAAAATCCATGTCAAGGGCAGCAACCCCGACTCGTAGGACCTCAGTGTCAAGTGCCCCAGTTAAGTCCCCAACCTCTTCTTCAGTTATAAAGCCTGCTAAATCTACAGCAAAAAATCCAGTGTCGGCAGTGTCTAATTCTCCAACTATGAGGCCCAAACCATGGAAACCCTCGGACATGCCTGGATTCTCCCTTGATGCTCCACCAAATCTGCGGACATCTCTGTCTGATAGGCCGCCTTCTGTCACAAGGGGTAGACCTGGAGGACCGAGTTCTCGATCTTCATCTGTCGAACCCATTTCAAATGGAAGGGTTAGACGACAGTCATGTTCTCCAGCAAGAGGACGGCCTCCCAATGGCATTACTCGTAGCAGTGGAAGCTCTGTCCCCGTGCCTGCTGTAAATCGATTGCATGCCAAGGCTAATGACAACGTGAGCCCTGTTCTATATGGAACTAAAATGGTTGAGAGGGTAATAAATATGCGGAAACTGGCTCCACCCAAGCAAGATGACAAACATTCACCAATTAGCAACTTATCTGGAAAGTCCTCATCACCCGACAGTTCAGGCTTTGGGAGAACGCTTTCAAAGAAATCGTTAGACATGGCAATAAGGCATATGGTGTGTACACTAATCTCTATCTTTTGATATTTAAGTGATGCTATAATTACTTGTAGTTGTGTTGAAGTTGGTGGTTTATCATTTAGTGAAATCGTGCCACTAAATCAATGTGTACTTAATATAAATTTATGCAAGGTCCCCTTTTTGGAGAATTAATTTTCAATTTTTCTGGTCCAGGGCATAAGGCGAACTGTTCCAGGCAATTTACGCCCACTAATGACTAATATCCCAGCTTCCTCCGTTTATAGTGTGAGATCAGGGCATACCAAAAGCAGGACAGTTAGTATGTCTGATTCTGCACTTGGTACAAGCAGTGCTAGTTCTGAAGTGAGCGTCAATAACAATGCTCTTTGCGTGGATGGAAGTGAAGGGGATGACGATGTTAGCAGTGATAAGCGTCCCCGATCTCCTGCCAGCATACGGAGCAGGAGATGATTGTCGATGCCATAATATACATGTATTAACTGTTGACTTCTATTCTGAACTTCTGGTTAGAATCAAATTGACAATTGATAGACAATCATTCTCCACTATAGAAGGTTAGTTATATTCGAATTCACGAGTTAGATGTATAAATTGAAATCTTTGTGTCATTATTAGAAACTTGGTTCATATGCTAAACCTTCTTCCAGCTTGTTGTTTGTTATGAACATGTAAACCCTTATCTCGGGGACATTAAAATCAATGTTCACTTCCTCTTTTTTTTTTTTAAAATGCTAAATTCAGTCTTCAAATTTGTATGTACTAATATTATGGCATGTTTTGCAAATACTCAATTGGCACAATTTCTTAAGGTGCAAATGCAAAAGAATTTGCAAAAAAACTTGCTTGCTGTGCGCTGATAATGGATCCGATTACAGGATCAAGTTGTCCCGTTGGTTTTGTCCAGATTATGTGAGAAAAGTTCAGATAAAGGAAGAAACTACAAGTTGTTGTACTCCATATTTGATCAAGCTATTGTAGTCTATTAAGAATTCAGTTGACATATCAATGAACAATAATGAGTGGTGATAAAAACTTCATGTACCCAATCTCAAATTGAGTAAACATAAAGCAAATTGTCTTTAACTACCCTGCAAAGCATATGTACTTGTTCTTTGAATAATGTTTATTTATCATTCGTGGATATCATCATTGATCTATGTGGTTATAGTTCCTTGATTCATTGTCCAATGAAATTGATGCATTTTAATGAATTAAGAGGTTCTCGATTACTTAGACGGATGATGATGTAGATTAATAGCACTATAATTTGACAACATGAAGGATGGCAATGAAATGGATTATGAGATATTATAAAATTTTATAATTCTTGTTTAAAATTGTTAACCGATGACATGCATTAATTGTTAAGCAATCAATATCAACAATTAAGCATGTAGTTGAATTATCATTATATCCACCAGATAATAATATTTGTGAACTAAGAATAATGTTATTCATAGTAACTAACTTATTTGTTTCCCACTGTCTTGTCTAAATTAAAATCATAAAGTAGATTGAACCTGCTATGAATCGTCGACTTATGAGCTGCCTATTTGAGGAATCATGTCGGAGTTGGGCTAAATTCTTGAAAATTATGATGTACAAATAAATAAATTAAAAGTAAATATCTCATCAATGGATCTTTATTGTGCATCTATGGCAAATAATTATAAATAGTTCAAAGAAAAATTGGAACCTTTCATCTCCAACCTTTGTAATATGGCACTAACGGCCTGTTTGATTTATCAACATTTTCCATGGATTTTCCACAAATGTGTTGTTTGATGCACAATATTTTCTTGACATTTGATTTTCTTGCTGATGCTCACACGGTGGGTTTTCTTGGCGGTTGAGGAAAACCATTTCCGACCCTTTTTTTAAATTTTTTTTTAAAAATTTTTTTGGGCAATGAAAACAAATTCCATGAACAATTGTGAAGTTTTTTCTCTTTAATGGACAATTTTCATGAAAAGCAAAGTCAAACGAATACCAAAAGATCCAATATTTCAACATTTTTCAAGTGGAAAATTATAACAATCAAACACAATTAATTGACAATTCTCAAAAAAACAATTCTAGGCAATTTAATTTCCTGAAATTCATTTTCTTTTCACACAAATTCCACTCTTGCAATCAAACACAATTAATTAACTTTTTTTTTATCACCACATACTTATTCTTTCGAAAACATATAGAACTCGTCATTCCATCCAATTTAGCTGTTAAATCAAGTAAAAAGGAAGAAACTAAATAAAAAGGATAAAAGAAAAATTGTAACGAAAGTTTAAAATCTTTTCAAAATGAACAAATAAATCTTCTTCACCAACCAGTCCATTCCTCAACCTAATTCACCCCAACCTAATTCACCCCCACAATGCCAACCAAACCATCACCAGCCAGCTGCCATCACCACTGCCCTACCACTCACCTAAACCCCTCCTCAAACCCACGCCAAAACTGCCCTACCATTGAATAACAGGTACTTCTATTTTCATCCATCAATATTATATATATCCATGTCACTCTAAATCTATCACTATTAAAAATTTTAATTTTTAAGAAAGTATTATATTCATCCACGTTATATTCCAACATTATACTTATTAAGCCCCTGTTTGACAAACATTCAAAATAGTGTTTTTTGGGGAAAATTGAGTTTTGGAATATTGATTTTTTGGAAAATGTGTGATTAAAAATAGAAAAAGTTTTGGATGTACGTGTAAAACATTTTACTGTGTGAATGCGTAGTTGAAAATGAGTTTGAGAAAAAAAAGAATTTAGAGAAAATTGATGACAAATCGGGGCTAAATTCATCCGTTTGAGCAATATATATCCACGTCACTTTTATATATCTATCTCACTCTAAATCTACCAATTTTGTACCGTAACTGAAGGGCTCAAAACTTTTCTACCAGACATTTCGATGCAACCCATGAGGGAGCGAAGGATATGAAATTTTCACAAACATTTTAATTATTAACACGTGGATCCATTTCCAAATAATTTTATTTGAAATTCCACTTTGTGAAAGATCAATAGTACTAAAGCTAATTAGCATGCATGCTCAGTTGGTTTAATCACCCCTGTATTTATTCTTTTCTCAGCAGTTTTACCTTGCAATCGCCAGTAACTATTATAATTGAAATTATAAAACTATTTGTGGGATTATACCTATAAAAATTAGGGAAAATTGCACTGAGCACTGTGTTGGTCCCCCAACCTTTGAAAAGAATCTAATTGGTCAAGTTGCAGAGTCGGCGAGGAAAGCAACCCAAACCTCTATTAAATCATCACGTGACCCTCCCATGTCTAACTTTATAAAGCTAAATTTTGTTTCCCAACTTGAGACGGTGGCTAGAATTTTGAAATGATGCATATTTTTGTAAGGCTCAAATGACGATTTAACGGAGTTTTGGATGCTAACTATAATTGAGATTTGTAAATTTCATGGGCCTCATGGGGGTGGAAGTAGCGATGAGGGATGAAAGTTTGGAGAGAGACAGGGACCTCATCGTTCTTTAAGATCTACTTATACTTATGATGGTGATGATTTTCGTTTTTTCGTGTAAATGATGGCCCCAGGTTGTTTAGGTTTTGTGCAGAAACAAAAAAGCGACTTTGATGGGGGCCATTAAGCATCGACCACGAGTGAGAAATATTGAAGAGCAGGATGAAACTACAGACCTGGTGACCGGGTGTGGAACGATAATGAACTTGATGATGTCTATATAGCAAAAAGAAGAAGATTTTGACTCAAGGAAAGAATATCACATATGGTTTTGGATGGGAAATAACTGATGGGGGCATTAAGCATCGACCACGAATGAGAAATGTTGAAGGGAGGGATGGAAACTACATACCTTGTGATCGGTTGTTGGACGATGATGAACTCTCCAGAGCTAAAAGAAGAAGGTTTTGACTTGAGGAAAGAGTATTAAACATTGTTTTGGTGGGAAAATAATCGATGGAAATCTAAAAATGCCATGAATATGCTGTGCATTGCTTGCTGATTCAAGAATTATGAAACTGATACCAGAAGATCAGTTTTCAAGTACAACTACAATAGCCAGAGATATCTCATCCGCATATCAACAGTTCTGATATGTACTTTGCTGCCAAATTATTATCCAGTGTAGGCCTGAAGATGTTTCGGTGTTCCATTCGAATTTAGTGAGATTGGTATCTCAATATCGTATTGTTTTTAACCTATTTTGGCACGTTTGGTATGTTTGACTGGATATGAACAGAGTACCCAAAATGCCAATACAAATCGCTATATTCAGTTGGATCAAGTGCAGGAGGTGTGCGTCGTGGTCAGACATCTAAAGTAAAACTCGGATTTATAACAATTGATACACGTTTGGTTTGTTTCTCTATTTATGCAGTTATAACAATTGACCAAGGCATGACTCGGATTAAAAGCTCAATCATCGGGTCATTGGTTCAACTATCGGGTCGTCAGTTGAACCACCCGGGTCAAATCTGGTTTTATCTATCCTTAATATTTTGAAATATATAATAAGGCAATAACAACTATTTTACAAAACAACAATTACATGTAAACTAGTAAATAACACATTATTAGAGGAGAACAAAAGAAAAGAGGTAGAGATAATGAGATAACAATGTTAGAAATAGTGCTGTCAAAATAATAGTGCTATTCTGAAGAGAAATGCTATTCATCCCCAGTCTATATGGCGTTAATGTGGCATTAAATGAAAGGTTAAATTAAATAAGTCATTTAACTTCACCTATCATTTAACCAATCATTTACATCCACATAGACTGGGGATGAATAGCATTTTTCTATTCTGAATGTAATACAAAAGTTAAAATGGAAAACAGAGAAGATAATGGGCGCTAAGGTTCTTACAGATAGCAACTAAACTACAGAGAGATGAGAGGTTTTACAGTTTACACCGTCTCACAAGCAAAATGACTATGCAACCCTTACAAGTAATACACAAATAGCTACAAGAGTCATAGGTTAGGGACCAATTATGCATAATTTGTTGACCCAACCAGAAAAACATTCCTCAACACACAACCCAACAATTTGATAAGATATGTACAGAAATACTTCATTCTAATATAACATCAATCTCTTTCAAGTGACATAACTAAGAATTCTGTTCAACTGCAAATAATTTATTGGCATTGACTGTATACAACACTTGGAAAATACAAAGAATTCAATCCTATAAACAATGTTACACTACACAAGAATCTTACTTTTCACAATCGCGTGCAAATGTCCGATAATGAAGCAGAGACTTATCTGACAAGAATTTAAACATTTCTGAGTTTCAGTAGTGGCTGCTCCCTGTGCTGAACGATTCTATACAAAAATTTGGGGCTCTGGCTAGGACACACTGCCTTGTGAAAAGAATAATACCCTACACACCTTCGATTTTAACTATGTTTGTCTTTTCTGAAGCAGGGATGCCATG